GCGTGGACTCGGTGCCGCTCTGTGAAGCTGCGTTTTCTGCTTTCATCCACCCCACAAGCAGTAGCGTAATGGCGATACGAGACAGAGTTCACCAGACCACGCTGGTGGTTGTGGAAGGCCCATTAAAGCCCACGGTCCTCATCATGCCTTGACGCTTTGTGCTGCAAAGGCAAATTGCCTGTGAATGCTGCCTAGCCCAAGCTGCAGGCCAGAGACGAGCACAGCTGTACAAACCTGAGGTGCTCCTGACAGACACAGACACTGCTTCTCTGTGGATGGCTGTGCCCAAGCCTGGGCTGAGCCCTCAGTGGGTGGCAGTGGGGTCTCAGGCTGCACCTGGGAGTGCAGAGGGGCCATGCTCCCTTCAGCCCCTGCACCACTCTGCTCTCATTGAATTCCTACCTTCTCTTCAGCCTGGCTGCTATTGTCTGCCCCATCCACACACTGATGCTGGGGTGCAGGCACCAGCCAGGTGCTTTGCTGGAAGTGTAAGTTACAAGTGGAACACAGTTGAGGCCTCCAGCTGTGCACAAAGGCTGCTGCAGACCCTGTCCTCCTAGCACTGCCTGCCAGCTGTCTGAGGGAGGTCCCAACACCCCCACCCCTTGGGCCTCACCAGAAGGGTCATGACTGCAGAGGAAACCACAGTTACCTGCGGTGTTACCTGGTACCCACAGGATCTGCCCACGTGGGGGCTGCTGCTTGGCTGCTGGGAGAGCTTCCCTTTGGGCAGGGCAGGGCAGGGATGGGCTGCTACAAGTCCCAGCACGTGGTTAGGTTTTGGCTTAGTGAGAAAGTACAGAAGGAAAGAGAAAGACTCTTCCTGTATCTCCATCTCCAGTGAGCTGCAGCTGGGCTCCGTGGGTGAAACAAGGACAGCTGCTGGAATGTGCTGAGAAGCTGCAGCTTGGAGGCCTCAGGGGCACTTGGCCAGCACCGAAGCAAGGCTGGAGGGAATGCCCTGCAAGAACAGCACTTAAACCCATGCCCCCAGCTTGGCCTCAGCTGACTTGTAGCACTAGGGTGAAAGAAAGAGGAAAAAGACCTCTTCATGCTGGAATTTTGTTTTAACGCGTGCTTATTAGAATAGCTTGGGACGGGAGAGCCTGTGGCTCTGCTGTGACCACTCAATGCACTGAAGGCATTTAATGGTGAAATTACTTATTACAGACAATATTTTTTTTTCAAGAAATAGTACCCAGACAGTAAGAAGATATTTTAAGATCCTTTTAAAAAACATTTTATTGTTCACTAAGTATAATATGCTAATAACCATTGCACATAAAAGAAGCATTCAGAATATTATAAATAATGTATATTGATAATAAATATTCTAGTTGTGACATTTTAAGACTGAAGAGACTTTCTCTTACGTTACTGGTAAATAGATCTGATTTCTGAAAATGAGGATGCAACTGTGATTGAGGGATTACTATACTAATTCTATCTTAATAAGTAAAAAGATACAATATTTTTATGATATTCAGAATCTAAATAGTTTACACACTATACACATCTCAGTATGTATTATATTCTAATACATGAAGGGTATCAGGTTAATATAAAATATGCAAATAGCAGCCTACGTTCATGTTCCCAAGAAAACAGATCTCCATAAAAAGCAAACATGTAACAGAATAAAACTATAGTTAGAGGATTCTAATTGCAAGGTTCTGCAAACTGTAATGGTCAAGGGATAAACATGGAGCTGAATATCTTAGCTAAGCTCAAATAAACATCTTGAATGCCTTTTCACAATTACAGAGCAGAAGCATTGCAGTAACAACATACTGTGTCATCAGTAGCTACAACAAGTAATTCCAACTCGCTCTATATAATCTCATACTTATTGTGAGGGTTTTCCCAGGTCAAAGCTCTTCCTACTTCTCCACCGTAGCAGTTTAATGAAGTTAAGACTTGCACTGAAGATTTTGTCATGCTGAAAAACCATTTTGTAGAATATATCAATGGGTAGATCTCCATTGGGATCTGCATACTTCAGAGTTGTCATTGGAGTGTACAAGGTGTTGGTCTGGTGGCGAAAAGGTGGATTTTCTGCAAGAATTACCTTTACTGTATGCTGGCAAGAATGAGAAATAGAATTTTGAAAGAACTTCTACCAAAATGAAAAACTCCCAGTTTTCAGTTAAACAATGGAAAAGTGGAAGAATAAAGTGCTAGAATTAGAATTTCATTAGAAATTTTTCTTAAAATATTTTAAGGCCATAAGAAGTACTTCTTATTTTTTCTTAGTCTTATTTCTGTTTCTCTATACCATGGAGATAGCACCTTACACTAAAGTATCCTGAACAGTCCTCCAAAATGAGTGTGGGCCTATATGCCTGCAATAGGTAGATCCTTTCTTTTCCAGTTCACTGGGAAAGGATCAGGACAGTTTGCTGCATTTTGCAGCCAGATCTAGGAACCTTCAGTTGATACTGAAGCTATTCCTTACCAACAAACACCTGAAATCACCGTCCCCTTCCACAGCTTGCCTAAACTTGTCTTCCTGCAGGAAGCCCCAAGCACCAGAAACTATACCCATGTATCCATGTTTCCTCTATTGTGCCTTGGTGATCTGGGGTGGCTGACTGCACTTCCCATTAGTGGAGGGATTAGTAGTGAGATGGAGAAGACATTGGCATTACCAATGGTGGGAACCCTGTGTAGATGTATGGTAACACTGCAGAATGTTCAAGGCATCAAGTATCTCAGTGGTATTTAAACTACAAGTTATAGTTGTCTTTAATACTTCAAAATGGACATTGTTTTAATAAAAATTTTAAGCTGTGTAAATTACATTTAATTAAATCTAATGTTTCTACCAGAAGAACTCACCAACCAAGCACTGCATTCATAAATTACAAAGAAAACAAAACCAAACAAAAAGATAAACAGGAAGATGGAGAATTGTTGATGAGTTAGTTACCTCTGCAACATCTTCAGCACTTTGTCCCAGGCTCTGGAAAATCTGTTTGTAATTTTTCAGATAAATATTAGTAAACATCTCAGCTGTTTCTTCATCTGCAGCTGAAAGATCCATTTTCATTCCATCTTCAAACACTTTTCTTTCAAACTCTGTAACCACAGGGCCTGGTTCAATCAAACTCAACCTGTTCAAAAAGCAAAGACATACTGGTTATTGACTATTCCCCATGGAAAATATATCCCTCTTTCTCAAAAAAAAAGACTATTGAAGAGTTGCACAGTTAACAAACAATGTTCAATAGTACATTCTGTAAAGGCAACCCACACTGCATTATTGCTCTCATGCTCCTCCTACCCATCCACATGTAGTGGTAGAAATCTGCATAGTTTAAATTTCAATGTGCTGTAACTGAATTCATGGCATAAGTGAGTGCAGTTGTTACCTGCTGTCTCACAGCTATGGAATGAAGGATGTTTTATCCATCAGAACTTACCAGATATTAAGGAAAATATTTAACGGATAACAAAATTCATTACTTTCTGGACAAAATCCTGCATAGATTTTTTTCTCATGATAACACTAGAAATAGCTGAAAGAGATGGGGGAATTCACCAAACACAGGTTTTCTTTGTCAAGCTATCAGTGCTTCCTAATAACACAATATTATAATAAAATACAATAAAAGACTTCTGCTGTGGGTGGACAGATTTTAGCTGCCACCAAATCTGGAAAATCTTATTTTGCTCAGTAGCATATTATAGCAAGTCACTGGAATACAGTTAGGGGTCAGCTTTTTCCTGTTTTTTCTCAGGCAGTAATTACTCCCAGCTACTGTGTTTATCAAAATGCACTTTGGGACAAGACTTCTTTGTAGACTTGAGTTCTTAAGGGGATGTTCTAGAAGCTCTTCTTTAGAGCTGAATCAAGCTATTGACCTTCACAGCAGAATTCCAGCTACTGCTGGAATTAAAGCCTTTTCCCTTGTGTCACTCTTCACATCGGACCTTGAACTTTTCCCATTATACTTCCCTTTTTTAACCTCCTTTTTGCTGTGTCTTACACTCTTTAAATCTAATTATGAATTTTGGTAAAGCCTGTGTATCATTACATTTATTTTAAGTCCCTCCAAACTTTGCAAGACCAGTATGCAGAATCACAGTTTTGTCTGACATCCCACAACGCCAACTGTCTCTTCATCCACAGCATGAAGGCTAAAGGCTCAGGCACAGAGATGCAATGGATATTTAACAGCTGTTGGACTTTGCACCAATACTAGCAGAATTACACAAGTGTGAATATACATGTGAGAAATCAAACCCCAAAGAACAAGAGCAGTCTCTTAAATACAGTCTAAAACATTAGAAATAGTACACCACATTCTTCTCACCTTCCTCCCACCTCCTGTCATTACAGGCATCTCACCCTGTGTTCCATTCTGATGGATTTGCACTGTATGATGAGCCCTTGAACTTTTTTTTATCTGTGACTTGCCTAAGAAGGCTGTTATCCTTTCTAAAGGAAAGGATTACAAGTTGTCATTGGAATTTTATTCCTGATATTGTATGCAAGAATCTGGTTTCAGAAGAATTACGTAGACTGTATTTTATCCAAAGCTAAACAGCCTTTAACTATTCAAGAGAACATGTTTATTTTAACATCTAGAACTTCTTATTTGCTCATGTAGTGCCTTTTGTGATATATGATTTTCAAGAGCTTCTCAATCTGTTTAGCAGCAAGCTTTATAGATTTGTTTACTAGCTGTTGAATACATTTAAAATTCTCTAAAATACAATTTACACCAGTGGATCAATACTTACTGCAGTTTGAACTTGAGTGCTTGTATAGCCAAGCTTTCACAGAATCCTTCCACAGCAAACTTAGAGGCTGCATAAACATCATTAAATAAGATACCTGATGGTACAAACAAAACATCCTGAGAATGTGATTGTATTCAACATACTAATAGTTTAATTTCAAAAACTGATGTTTTTTTCCCAAAATTTTACAGTCTTGCTGGGAAAACATGAGAAAAATTCTTGCTTATACTGAATCTAAATGCTGATTTTTGCCTGTGTTCTCAAAATTGCTAAGTCTAGGAAGGGACACTCAACTAATGCTCTTCCTCCTCCTCTTACCCAATGCTGTGACCTCTTTGGATGATGTTAAGTATTTTGTAGTCTAAGATATGAAAGTGTCTGTACATACAATACCATCTGCATTATTAATGAGCAAGACTTTAATATGCTATAGATGGACATGGAAGCTGAGTGTAATGCAGGAGATACAGTAATGCAAGAGATCCTGCTTGCATCTGGCACTACATTAATCCATTTAGGTGGAAGGTTAGTATTGTCTAATACAGCTAGGAAGGATGGGATACAAGAGTAGGAGCATCATTATCTGTCACTAAAATTACTCTTGAGTTTTATAAGATGAGAAACTTTACAAAAAGGTGGTACTGTTGTCCAGGATTGGATTTTATTCTATTATTATTGTGCAGAGTTTGTCCCTATTTCCAACAGGAAAAAGCAATGCTAAGCCTTGTTTACCACATAATAAAAATAAAAGAATAAAATTTAAAAAAATTAGAGTTGAAACTCTAAGAAAGACCCCTAAAAACCCATACTACCTAGATGCATAAACCCAATCAAGTCTTAGTGCTGTGCTTTTCATAGTTGGAACTTCAGCATTACAAAGCCCAAGTTAGATAGATATACCAGCACCTACTTTTTTAATTTTTTTTAGATAAGAAGAGGAAAGCTGTACATTCCGAATACTGAACCCTTAGTTCAAACAAATAAAAAAAGCCAAAACAGCTTTGCCTTGTATTCCCATAACACTGCTTATTATGACTATATGGCCACTCCTTCTCCTCTTCATGTCAGGTAGAATCTCCTTCAGGAGTCGAACCAGCCCGAAGAAGTTGGTATCCATCACAGTTTTCATTTCATCTATGGTCTGACATTCAATAGGCCCAATGAGCCCCATTCCAGCGTTGCTAACTGCGCAAAATGGGAGACAACAGTGAGCAACAATCTCCATAAACAAATTTGTAATCTTTACTGGAAAGCATTTGAAAGTAAAATGAGGATTAAGGATTAAATGATCCTTAAATAATCCTTAAAGAAAGGATTAAAAGATGTTATTCTGCCACTAAAGCTTTGCAAATACACTTCACATTTCCAGATTTTTTTATTTTTAATTACATTTTTAATACAATTTAAATTATCCGATATTTTTTACATTGTAACTAATTTATTTCTGATTGGCTCTTTTCTTTAAATTATAAAAGGATTACAGGGAAATGAGCCAAGAATTATCTGTCTTTGTTTATAATTCAGTGTTAAGAACTAGAAGCTGCAGTCAATACCCAGAGGAATGAACAGAAGTCTTCAAAACGTGATTGACCAGGCCATATTTTGGTCTGCTTTTTGTTTTGTTAACATTCATATCTTCAAGAGAGAAAAAGACCAAAACTAAACCAACAAAACACACAAGCAAACCAAAACACACACTTGCATTGATTTTTATTTGCCTCCTGGATTTTTTTAAGTGGGGAATGATGACAGGACTGGCATTCTGCACTACAACTAGTATGTCAAACTAGAGTATAATACATTTTGCAGAAACAGCTTGTTAACCACTGCTTAAATAATTAATAAAAATAAAGACAGGTCCATTATTTTCTATCAGAGAAGATTTAGTAGCTAATGGCATAAGCCATTTCCGTCTGACTAAGGTATTAATATTTATTTCTAGCAAAACAGTATAAAAACACTTCTTGAAGGATTTATAAAGTACAATTTCAATTCTCAATACAAAGTATCCTTACTTTCTTTGCATTTATTCTTTCACTTGCTAATTCCCAAATGCTGTTGCTTTCTTAGTACAGAGAGCTGTTGGCTGCATTGTAAATAGGGTTATGCTTCCTCAACACAAAGTCTTGCCCATGAACGTGCCAGTTTAGACAAAAGTTCTCACATTCACTAAAAACTGTATCATCTTATCCAAGACACTTCCCTGTGATCAAGTTTCTGTTTTGTAAAGAGGGAAAACAAGCTTTCCTACTTTACAGAAGCAGGGTGAGATTTAATCCCCCCGTGGCATGAAGTCTTAAGAATCTTGAATTTGCTATTATTATTACTTTGATAATTTAAAAAATACACTAACGAAACTTCTCCAGGGTATTTGAGATGATGTTATATAGAAATCTGTTATTTGCTTGTAGCACACACATCCTGTACTTGCCTAGGACATCAATCCTCCTGTCAGGGATGCTATTCACACAAGTTTTAATAGACTGTTCATCACAGACATCCAGTTGTTTAATTTCGAGGGTTTTGCCCAGCCTGTGACCTGCAGCTTCCTCCAGGGGCTCTTTCTTGGCCAGATTCCGCATTGTGGCATACACTGCAACACACCAGAGGCAACGGTCACCAGAAAGAAAACCTTTAGTGTGGCAGCTGCACTGAGGAGTATTAAAAATATCATTTTTACATCCAGATCTTAAATATCAGTCACAGAACCTAGATCAAAACTGAATGTAAAAAGACTCTTATTTTCAACAAATACTGTCACTGGCTTCCCTGAGTCTGGTCCTGAAGTCTTCAGGAAATTCAAAGGAAGAATTAAACCTCTATGCACAACAAAGAACATGCAGTGTATGAAGGTAATATTATCACCAAAACGCTAAAAAATAAGTATCACATTATACCACTGAATTGTGCCCAAACCCTAATTTTGGATTCCAGTTATCTCCTCCCCCTCTATTTTTTTAAAATCTCTATCAACATGTTTATCAGAAGAACCATATTTTCATTAAAAAGTGGAAGACAAATGCTTCCTTAGGTTGAAAAAAAATGTCAATTTTTGCAAGCTACTTCTCAAAATAGAAATTACTTGTATCGTTATTGTGGCCTAATTACTCAGGAAGCACTGAATCTGCATCCAGTCAGTTAGCAGCAAAATACTTAGAGAGTATGACAATCAATTACCACAGATTGCTGTGTTCACTTTGCCATCGATTTTCAATCACAGCAAACATCCTGTTTTGCACCAGTAAGACATCCCAGACCCTTTGTTCACCCTCTTATGCCTATACAGGGTTGGAATAATGAAACATGCCTTAAGGAAAAAAAACACAAATTTAGGAACTGTTTACCTAAATTTATTTCTTTGGTGCTCAAATGAGCACGTACATTTCATTCAACAGATTTTAGTGGCCAGAAGCAAAGCTAACAACAACTGTGAGGCATATCCAAGCATACTACAGACATTTTCAGCTATTTGGTTTTATACAACTGTCTATTTCTGTTGTGTGTGTGTGTAAAGTATTTGGTTCAAGTCATTGTGCAGTTTCAATAAAGGTACAGAAATATCAACTGCTTACAGAAAACAGTATATTTTCACTGTATTGTATTTTCTTGACAGTAGAAGAGGAAGACTTAGAAGAAATATGTCACCAAACTGAATCTGTTAAATCACACAGAAAAAAACGCAGCAGTGTCTTAAGAATGTATTTTTATAAAGATAAAGAAGAGATATAGTTACCTTTAAATCTTTCCTGTTCATCTTTTGCCATTTTTACAGCTAATGCCAGTCCAATTCCTGAGGAGCAGCCTGTAATGAGGACATTTCTTCTTGCCATTCTTTTCACTGAGTGGTTCAAGCAAGAGTTCTTCTTCAGAAGAGCAACCACCTTAGTGTAACTACAGTGTAACATGACTGCCTTTAATGCTATCTCCAGCTTCCCTGAGTCAACAGATCTGAAAATGCACACCTGGACCTTGCATGTGTTAAGGAATACATAAGTGATTAAGAGATAATCTCCAGCTAGACAAAAACAGCAGCAGATGCTCCTGCATGTGTTTATAATCTGCATTATCAACATGGATTATATTTAATACAAAATTTGATAAATATTTAAAATGAGACATTTCTAAACTACATGGATGGGGTTTTTTAATAGAAGGACTAGCTTGCACACTACTGGCAAGAGAAGCCTTGCCACAGTTACAATCAGTCTCTAGTGTGAAGTCCTCCCCTCACATCTGTGGAAAGCAAACTGCACCCAGAGTGGGATCCTCTGCTGAAGGTGTTCAGACTTCCTACACCTACAGCACCTCCTTGTTCTTTTGCCACAGAATGAGGAATGGATTTCTTCCCTGATGCCTTACTATTACAAGAGTCCTAGTAGGCATTACAGAAAATAATACATTGAAAAATGGGATGTGGATTTGGAAAGAGACAAGTTGTTGGAAAAATTCCTCACATTTCTTTTTGGCAGTGTTCCCACCCAAGAACAGAGAAGGTTAGCCAGTGTGCCAGCAGCAGAGAACTGACAGATGTTGAACAGACCAGCTTCACTGCATCCTTGCTAACACTGAAATCTCTTTAAACACTTCCTATTCTGCAAGTGACAAGATGGAAATTTTAAAAAAAAAATCAGAACTAGCATGATGTCTGAGTTTTGGACTAGTCTAGTTTTGGAGAAAATATTCTGCCAGTTTCACATACAAACTGTGGATTAAACAGAGGAGCATTTGGACTGGCCCTTTGGTGCAATCAGTATTTAACATACAATAACTATAGGCACACTTCATTCAGACAGAAATCAGTCTTTTGTTTCTGTCCTGAGTGACAGAAAAAAGAAACACCTTAATAAGCAATTAGCCTTATGAACACCATTCAGCTAATTGCAATGCCATTAGACACAGCAAAATGTTTTCCAAGACTAAACAACCCCATGTTAATGCAATGAACTTCAGAAAAATGAAGTTAGTGTTCCAGGATTTGCATAGATGTAAATTGGTTAATAACTCAAGAAAAGTAGGACTCTACAGAAACATCCAACTGAAATTGTTAGAAAAAAACATGCCCATCCTTTTCAAAATAAATAAATTGATTAGAACAGTATACATACAATAATTAACTTCTCAGGCAAGCAACAAAATAGCAAGATAACATCTAAAGGTAAAGAAAAAAAAGTAATTATTCTATTTATCAGGTTTGACCCACAGTTCTACTAGAGAAGTTTATATACAGACAAAATTTTAGTGCAAATGCTATTTAGCTGATTCAGAGATTAGGCAAATTGCTTTTGCTGCACATGCACATTTATATTTAGTGCATGTAGGAGGAGCAAGCACAGCTTTATGCAATGCTCGTTAGTGGAATTCCACTAGTGTTGTGATGCAGCTGTAATTACAGATTGGTTATATTTTCCACTTGAAATCCTGGTTTGAAGGGCTTACATGTTCCCTTACTTTGAAAATCCTGTCTGAAATTTGATGCATAGATTTCTTGCCTGAAAGTAAATTGATGTGCCTAAAGAGAGGGAAAAAATTACTTTAATTTACACCAGTCAACCTAATTCTAATGTTTTTTCTTTACTATTATGTATAGAAACAAAAAGCTTGATTTAAAACACACAATATATTTATTGCTGTAAGTAATAGTATTTTTTGCTACATGATAAATTTCATAATAACAGAATAAATGACCTGAAACTGCAGAAATACTTTAGATGAGTATCTTGGCTGTGTCAGTGGAAGCAGAATGGGTGGCTGGTTTTGTGGAACCACCTAAAGCAGAACATGTGGCATTTGTGGAACGTGTTTACACCACAGTGAAAGCCCCACATGCTGCCCAAGGAGTTCAGCACTGAGCCACTTGCAGAGCTGCTGCAACACAAGATAGGTTTGCTGGCCAACATACACTTCTAATATACAAACCACTAGCATTTAAATTTCAATACATTCAATTCTGTTCCTCTGCTTTACGTCACGTAACTTTACCAACTTACTTTTCTGAAGCATGAGTCACCTGTCTTACTGCATATAAATCATGTCTGCATTCATCAGACTCACATTTAGCCCTCATAACCATGTTTGCAGTTTCTGATGCTTATGTAAATATAAAAGTGGGGCCACTAGCCACTTGTGGCTAAATGGTGTAGTACTTCTGGAAAACTGGAAATAAATATGTTTTTGAACGCAAAGTTATGATGCCATTTTAGTCAATGGTAATTTTTGTATGGATTTTGGTTTGGGAAAAAAAAAAACCAACTCAAGCTTAAGGGCCCTGTCCCACATCACCCTGCATCTGGAAGATACTGCTGTTAGTAAAGCAAACAGGTTCTGCCAGTGCCTGTGATCAAATCAGTGTCCTAAAACATCCTACCAGCAGGTCAGCTTGAATAAGATGTTGTGTCTGCAACACTGTATGTGTTAAAAAAAATTTCCAAACAAAAACTGTTAATAAGGTCACACCCCAAGATGTTAGATACAAAACAAAAGCACACCATTTGAAATCCTTGGAAAAAATGACAGCTGAAATGAATTCCTACAACTTGAATAAGTTATACTTTTTAAATATAAGAAAGTAATTAATATGTTATTATACCAAGGAGATAATCCTAAAACCAGTAAGAAAAATAAAAAGGTTGTCAGTTGCTACAGTACCAAAAATTATTCTTTATTTACAAATACAATGTTAAAATTTCCTGAGTGCACCATTACGATGCCAACACCACCATTCCTGGGTTACTGCTTGTCCAATGGGCAACATCCACTTCTGCATAGTTCTCGCCCCTGGAACAAAGTATCTGTGATCAGAACCTTCCTTTAAACTTCTGCACACAAATTTGCCATATCTAAATCCACTTGTAGCAAGATGTTACTTTCTGCTATTAAGATTTGCCTTGCAAGTCCCAGAAAACTACCTGCAGGTCTCAAGTCCATGGCTGCTTTCTCCAATTCTGACCCCTAGACTGATGGTATCAATGCATTTTTGCTCACTGGGCTTGTAATAAAATTTGCTTTCTCAATGAGCACAATTTACACATTTTTCAACATACTAAGTTCTAGCAGATAAGCAAGAAAATACTACGCAGAATATTTTAAGAAGAAATCTTCATATGTAAATCCCTGTAAAAATTTCATACTGTTTATAGTAAAACAATCTTTTGAAATAACTCCTCTATCTAAGGCTTAAGGTTTCATGTTGGATTGCATTATTGTGTTTAAGTTCCTAACAGCTTAAGTTTCTAACAATTCAGGAAGTGTTTGTAAAAAAACACATCAACAGTATCAAGTATCAAGAGGAAAAAAGCCTATGATGCCTACCAACAAAGCAAGAAAACCAGCAGCATTAAATTAATGTCAGTACTCTGGATTTTCTAGTATACAGAAATAAATGCAGCCAACACTGTATGTTTGTGGATTTTTTTTTTGTTAGTTTCTAGAGCTTTAGCTTCCCCTACCTCCCCTTTCAAACACAAGTTTACAGACTGGATCTAATTATTTAACATTTCATTTATAGAAAAAATCCAGAGTATTAGATCTCTCTAGCATATGACACTCAGCAGCTATGTGTGCAGTAGCTAATGCTGCAGCACAACAAGAGACCATATCAGCCACTAATATTTCACCTCACATTATACTCTGGCCCCTGTTAATTATAAATACAAAAGAGATTATATTGAATCTATTCATGTTTAGCTAGATGCTTATTCTTTATGAGGAATGCTATAAATAGAGTACACAGACATCTGTAAGTAGCACATAAGCAGCTTACAGCTAATGAATGAAAGATTATTACAATAATTTCTAATTAGACCATATATACTTTTATAATAACATTGCAAAAATTACTCCTAGAAAAATAAATTTTTGTAAGCACTAATTTTTTCTTACTTCTCTTAACATTTTAGCACTTTTTTTTCCTCATTTCAGGAGAAACTGTGGTCACAAAAAATTAGTTTACTATAAATCCAATCCAGTTTTGTTTGGTTTTGTTTTTTTTTTAAAGGAAATTACTTCAATTTCCCAGAAAAGTTAAAAAGCCATTCTGAATTTTCAGTAAGATATTTTCAGCTTCTTTATTTGGAATACTTACAACTTCTAAGGGTAGCAGAGTGCTGCATTGCTACGAGATCTTCACTGCAGATTAAAGCAGGGTAAGAACAAAGAACGATTGAACTGAAAAATCTGTGACCTGGTTATTTCATGAGTCCCACAGGGACAGAGTGGACCAGGACAGAAATCAACCCTCTAATAATTCCTTCCCTGAACTAATATATTTCCTGCAATAAGCAGGGAAGGTAGTATATTTAGGAGGAAAAAAATGAGACAGACTATACCCCTGGGTAAGACACATCCACTGCCCCCCAGCCCTTTTCCCTAGATAGATTAAGCAACTGAGTTTTTAGAACTAGGACAGAAAGTTTCTGTGGAAGACTAGTCAGCCAGTCTGCAGTGTATTACTAACAGAGAAAGTGTTTTCTTACATCATGTTAATATGAACAATTTTTAAACAAAGGAGGAACCACATCACATTCTCAGTGGAGCCAGAAGCCCTCTGCAATGTATTCCATATTTTATGCAGAATGCTTCAAAATCCAGTGTTGTAGCTACTTCACTACAATGACAATAAGCTTAAGATTTTGTTTCTTTCATCCCAAGTCTCTAAAGGAATGTAACTGAAATAGGCCTATTTTCAAATCCTTTCTTATATCATTCTTAGGCCTCTCTCTACCTGGTATTCCTTAGTGAAAACAGTAACAAGGCAATTTGTCTGGAAAGAAAGGATCAAGTCAGCAGTTGTACAGAGGCTAGCTAGAAAATTCTTTCCTTCAGAATAATCCTGAAAGTCCTAGGAAAAGCTGGAAGTATATTAATGCTGCTCTTGACTGTCATAAATAACCTAACAGAAATCAAGATGGAAGAGCTGACATTGCTTTAATTTGCAGTGAAACAATCTTCATATTCAGCTGTGACACAGCCGAGTCCCTACAATGTGGATCAAATGCCTTTGGTGACCACATTCTTTCCTTCAGAATAATCCTGAAAGTCCTAGGAAAAGCTGGAAGTATATTAATGCTGCTCTTGACTGTCATAAATAACCTAACAGAAATCAAGATGGAAGAGCTGACATTGCTTTAATTTGCAGTGAAACAATCTTCATATTCAGCTGTGACACAGCCGAGTCCCTACAATGTGGATCAAATGCCTTTGGTGACCACACAGAAGCTTCTCCAA